GAAAAGAGGTAAAGAAACGCAGCAGATAATCCACTATGACAGGGGTATCAAACTCAAGGTCCGCGGGTCAAATCCGGCCCCTGGGGTGCTTAAATCTGGCCCGTGGGGCCAGTCTGGAAATATCAAAGGACCCGCCCCCAGTGCCTCTGCCAACCAAAAACAGGCCAAGCGGAGGCCTTGTGAGGACCATTGCATGGCCCGTTTTCAATCTCCCCAGCCTCCAGCAGCACTCTGCCAGCCAAAAACAGGCTGCACGGGGCCTCTGCGCGGCCCGTTTTTGACTGAGAGTGTGCTGCAGGAGGCCGTGGAGACCGAATATGAGGCACGCTTGGCCCCCATGCCCCGTTTTGACTGGCAAAGGATGAAGACGTCTGTCTCATCTCTCCCCAGTCCCCCCTGCTGGGTTTAGGACTTTTTGCCTCCTACCCTTGGCCGTGCCCAGTGGTGGGATTCAAATAATCTAACAACCGGTTCTCTGCCCTAATGATTTCTTCCAACAACCAGTATGCCAAACTGCTCAGGAAGTTAACAACCGGTTCTCCCGAAGTGGTGCGAACTGGCTGAATCCCACCACTGGCCATGCCTGCTTCTCTGCCAGGCTTCTGCCTCGGGGGATTCTTGTCTAGCTTTACTCCTTGGCTGACATGCCCCTGTCCATCCACCTTCCATCCCACACATTTCGGCATTGCCCATTCAATGTTTGTCCCGGGCTTTTTGTCTCCCAGGATGGTTAGTCCCCAGCCAATCGGCTAGTTGCCAATGCTGGCAGCCAGAAGTGCAGGGGTGGGTGTGGGAGGTGAGGGAGTTGCTGCTCAGGTGCTTATTAGGAGAAGGAAGGGGAGGAGTGGAAGGGAAGAGCGGGCGTGGGGGTGAGGATAGTAAGGCGGTTTCATCCAAAAGAGTTTTTGTTTCGGGTGGGTATCCTAGCCTTAGAAAGAGAGAGGGAAGGAGGAAGGGAGAGAGAGAGAGAGAAAGAGAGAGAGAGAGAGAGAGGAGACAAGAAAGAAAAGAAAGAAAGAAAGAAAGAAAGAAAGAAAGAAAGAAAAAGAAAGCAAGAAAGAAAGAAAGAAAAGAAAGAAAAAGAAAGCAAGAAAGAAAAGAAAGAAAGAAAGAAAGAAAAGAAAGAAAAAGAAAGCAAGAAAGAAAAGAAAGAAAGAAAGAAAGAAAGAAAGAAAGAAAGAAAAGGAAGAAAAGAAAGAAAGATAAGAAAGAAAGAATGAAAGAATGAAAGAAAGAATGAATGAAAGAAGGAAAGAAAGGAAAGAAAGAAAGAAAGAAAGAAAGAAAAGAAAGAAAGAAAGAAAGGAAAGAAAGAAAGGAAAGAAAGAAAGAAAGAAAGAAAGAAAGAAAGAAAGAAAGAAAGAAAGAAAGAAAGAAAGAAAGAAAGAAAGAATGAATGTGGGAAGGGAGGGAGAGAAAAAGGAGAGGAAGGAAGGACCACAAACCCTGGCACTAGACACAGCTTCAATGGATGCTTTGAAACAGCACAGCAGTCCCTGCCACCATTGGCAACTAGCCAATTGGCTGGAGGCTAACCGTCCCGGGAGGCGAAAAAACCAGGACGAACAGTGTGGCGTCGAATGGGCTGTGCCGAAGCATGTGGGACGGAGGGGCCGTGGCCGATTGGCCAGAGTGTGTCAGCCAAGGAGAAAAGCTAGAGGAGAATCCCCTGAGGCGGAAGCCTGGCGGAGGAGAACTACAATGCTGATCCGGCCCTCGAAGAAATCCAGTTTGACACCCCTGCACTGCAACATTCACCAGGCATTGGTTCAATTCCGTTCCAAATGTAATCCACTTCCAAATTCGTTTTGTTATTGAGGACAACGGAAACTGAGAACATGTTAAAGAAGCTTTATTATAGCAACACGGAGATATTGTTGGTTATAAGAGGACAAGAGTCTTGGTGGCGCAGCAGATTAAAGTGCTGTTAAGCAACACCAGCTGCCTGCAATTACTGCAAGTTCGAATCTCACCAGGCTCAAGGCTGACTCAGCCTTCCATCCTTCCGAGGTAGGTAAAATGAGGACCCGGATTGTGGGGGCAATAAGCTGACTTTGTATAAAATATACAATAGTATGAAGGCTATTGCTTAACGCATTGTAAGCCGCCCTGAGTCTCCGGAGAAGGGCGGCATATAAATCAAATTAAAAAAAAAAAAAAGTTGAAACATCTTGATTGTCATTCATGAAATCTTCCTAGCTCTTCTTATGTAAATTGTAGTAAACTGTGTAACCAAGAGCCTTGGTGGCGCAGCAGACTAAAACGCTGTTAAGTAGCACCAGCTGCCTGCACTTAGTGCGAGTTCAAATCTCACCAGGCTCAAGGTTGACTCAGCCTTCCATCCTTCCAGGGTAGGTAAAATGAGGACCCGGATTGTGGGGGCAATAAGCTGACTTTGTATAAAAAGAACACGACTTGGGGGGGCCGAAAGCCCTACTAAGCAGGTATATACAAAAGTATGAAGGCTATTGCTTAACGCATTGTAAGCCGCCCTGAGTCTCCGGAGAAGGGCGGCATATAAATTGAACCAATAAATAAATAAATAAATAAATAAATAAATAAATAAATAAATAAATGAGATTCGACATTTGTCAAAAATAGATTAATGCAGCCTAGATGAACATTCAAAGAAATGCTCCTTCTAAGCTGGCACCAATGACAAGCGTTTTTTTAAAAAAATCATCCAATCATTTCTAAACATTAACCAAACTGATTCATTTACCAGCTTCAGCTATTTCACCGTTTAAAAGCTAAGTGTATTGTTAAAGATTACGCTCCTGTTTTGGACAATTAACCAAGGGGAAGGTGGTGAAGATAAAGACAACTATCTAATCATTCAAGCCAGTGAGTCATCCTCTTAAAACTGCCAAAAAGTTTTGGATTTGAAAACAAAATCGATTCCTTCCTCTTTAGCTTTACCTGGAATAATGAACTGGCAAAAATTTGAAGTTTAGAATTTTAAGAGGATAGAATACGGGAACAAATGCTGTTGCTTCGTGTTATGCCTCAAAAGACAAACCTCCAATATGATTCAGCCACAAACCTTTTTAATGACAAGACTAATTTTCAGATCTGCCTTTTAATTACTTGGAATTTTTTTTTTTGTTACCAATCCACTTTTGATCTAATGCACGATGGCTCTGTCAAGCTTTATCTTGGGTGTCACTCATTCTGAAACAAATGACTTAAGAATAAAAGTCTCTGAGTGCCCCATTTTGAAACCACAAAAGGAACTGATACAATCTTAGCTCCATTTAAGGGGAGCTACATTCTCCGCAACTACCATACAAGAAGTTTCTATGCATTTCTGACTTGGAAATTTTGAAAGGGTTCGGGAGAACCTCTAGCTAAGATTCTGTGCAGTTCGGAGAACCCCCAAATCCCACTCCTGGCTGGCCCCGCCCCACCCACCCCTCCTAGGAGTCCCCACGTGGCCCGTTTTGGATGTAGGTAAGGGCAGGGCACGCATGGAGGTTCGGGGAGGGCCTATCAGAAGATCAGGAAGGTCAGAAAGGGGCCTGTTTCCAGCCTCCAGATGGCCTTTGGACCCTGGGGTGACTGTTTGACCCTCCCGGAGGCTCGAGGAAAGACTCCGGAACCCAGGGAGGGCAAAAATGCCTCCCCCACCACCACCACCGTGATACCCACCCAGCAACTGGGCAGAGAAACTCTTGCTAAAATTTTTGAAGCCCGCTCCTGGAAAAGAGGCCACTCTAAATTAACCAAGGGGACACCCCAAAGATACTTTTAAAAATATCTTTCTCCTCTACTCACCATCCTGCCGAATCTCTGACTTGGCTCTGGGTTAGCACGTTGCAAAGCAAACACACTTTAAAAAAAGCAGGAATGCGAATTGCGAAAGGTCAGCTGTTACCTGTTGATTGAACTACTAAGACGATGCAAAAAATAAATAAATAAATAAAAAATCAGCCACTCCTTCTTACTGGCTTTTTATATTTGTATTTAGCTTAGAGACCCCGATCCTGAAAGTTCTTACTTGCCAAGGCTTTCTTTTAAAGAAACAGACGGGTTTGAATTCCCAAATCTGCTGTACAGGTTACCCATGACTTACAAGGGCTCGTCAGTGACGGTTCAAAGTTACAACAGCACTGACCAAAGTGGCTTATGATGACCATTTTTCACTCTTACAACGTTTCAGCCTTCCCATGGTCAGCGGATCAACATTCAGATGCTTAGCAGTTGTGGCCAGAAAGGTTTTAAAATGGGGCTAAACCAGCGGTGAAATGTTCCCGGTTCGGACCGGATCGCCCGATCCGGTAGTGATGTCGGTGGGTAGTTCGGAGAACCAGTAGCAAAAATCCCTCTCCACCCCCCATGCCCAGCTGAGCCGCACGATCATCAGAGGCTTTTTATTTTATACTTTCTGCTGGGGCAGAACAGGCTGTTACGTATAAACTGGGTTAACAAAATCAGAAATGAGGAGGTGATAAGCTGCCTGGGAATGCGAAGGGAAATCATCAAAGATATTAAAAAAGCGAAAGTTAGAATATTTCGGACATGTGATGCGACACCTGAAAAAATACGGCATCCTTCACTTAATCCTGTCCAAGGAAAGATTGAAGGCAAACGAGGTCCAGGCAGAAGAAGAATCTCATGGCTTCAAAATCTAAGGGACCAGTTTGGACAAAGCTTAGCAGCACTTTTTCGTGCGGCTGTTGATAATAATAGGATCGACAATATCATCGCCAGCGTCCGATGATGGATATGGCAGAAGAAGAAGAATCCTAAATTTCTTGTGAAGTTCATAGGAACAATTATAACAATGCAAGGAGGCAAGAGGGTCTTGAATCTTGAGACCCTCTAAATCTCCACTACTCTGGGAAATCCTCCAAAACATGGCATGATTTGATTTTAAGGAGGGAATTTGGCCTCTCTATAAATCTTCCCCAGCCTCCCGGTGTCTCAATGTTTGTCTCAAGATTGCACAGCTCCGAAATACGTTGAATCAGCCAAAAACTAGCAAGAGAACATTCTTTCCTTCACCGCTTCAAGGGCAGAAGGGAAGCGGGTAGCCTTCCTCTCGTGGCCAAGAATGCAGGGATCTTGTAAATCAGTGACTTCTTTCCTGCTGGGTCTACTTCAGCTGCCAAGGAGATGGGTTTTTGTTTCACTTCCCCTTGAGACGGCATCACTGTGGGCAGCCAATTGCTGTCGTAAGATGAGCAATAATAATCTGCCAGATCTTCCGCTTGGACATTGCTGATGGTTAAGGTGGCAGAAGACCCCCCTGTAAATCCTGAGAATCGCTCTGGGATCCCAGGGGGTCTCTTGTTGTGCTGATAGATCAACAACTTGGGCAAACTGTTGGGCTTCTGTTGGTACCAGGAGACGTGGTACTTGTTGATGCTTGCAGTGTTCCTTGTGCAGCTGATCACAGCTCTGCCCCCAGGGGCTACTGACAGGGTGGGTGGCTGAGTCAGTACAAACTGGCCCCAGGATCCTAAAATAGAATATAAGATGGAATATATAGAGTAGAGTAGAGTAGAGAGTGGAGTGGAGTGGAGTGGAGTGGAGTGGAGTGGAGTGGAGTGGAGTGGAGTGGAGTAGAGTAGAGTAGAGTAGAGTAGAGTAGAGTAGAGTAGAGTAGAGTAGAGTCGAGTAGAGTAGAGTAGAGTAGAGACAAGAATAGAGAGTAGAAAGTAGAGTAGAGTAGAGAGTAGAGTGGAGTAGAGTAGAGAATAGGGTAGAGATTAGAGTAGAGTAGAGTAGAGTAGAGAGTAAAGTAGAGTAGAGTAGAGTAGAGTAGAGTAGAGTAGAGTAGAGTAGAGTAGAGATAAGAGGGCAGAGAAGAATCAAGACCAATAAAACTCTTGATCAATCAAAGCTGCAACTTCCCCACATTGCAGAAGAACTGTTTATTTAGGAATGCCCCCAAATGTTTTAAGTTTTCTTTTACCTGCATAGTAAGAAAAAATCAAGACAAGGACAGAGATTTGTGCCATGGTCAAGGGGAAAAAAAGGGTATTTCTTGCAATAAAGCTCTCTCTTTCTTGCATCTCTTCTTAAAGGAGAGAATATAAATACATGCAAATGAGATGCCTTCTTTGATGGTTGCATGACGATTCATGTCTCTTTAGGTTATAAAGAGAAGAGCCTGCTAAAGAAGCATCTTGTAGGAACAGTCTCACAACGTGTAACATACAAGTGTTTGTCCGATTTCCCCCCCCCCCCACACACCTGGGGTAGAATCATAAGGCTGGAAGGGACCTTGGAGGTCACTCCCATTTGTTCAGGAAGCACTAAGGCAGAAGATCTTATTCCATGCTGGGCAAATGGTTGTCAGTTTTTTCTTGGAGACCTCCAGGAATGAAGCACCCACAACTCCAAGGAGCAAGGGGTTCATGAAATCGATGATGATGATGATGATGATGATGATGATGACGACGACGACGATGATGTTAGTCATTCAGTTGTGTCCGACTCGTGGCCATTCTATGAGCCAGGTCTCTCCACGTCTTTCAATCTTACACTACTTCACTACACCGTTGTAGTACTACACTACAACAGTAGTACTTACGCTACTGTTCATAAAGTTACTTGATTTTAAACATGTGGTTTGACTCTTTAGTGGCATTCACTGATCTGTTGCCTTCGTGGGGATATCATTTAATCAAGAATGTAATGCAATAACTTTCATGAAGGATTTACTATTAGAATAGCAGTTACAATATAAAGAAGAAAAGTGAAACACGTAGAAAAAAACAAGATATACAAAAATGATCACCATAGAAAAAATGAGATATACAAAAATTATCACCATGTCAGTTAATACTTAGCTGGGTAACCTTTAGCATGAATTATGGCCTTACAACCTCTTCCCATGGAGTGAACCAAGTCTTTGAGTTCTGCAGCTGTTATAATGTGAAACCAAGATTGAAGGATGGCTTCTATTAACTGGGTTTTATTGCTGGGTCGCTTCTGACTAACAAGTTTCTTTAGTGGGCTCCATAGATTTTCCATTGAGTTAAGATCTGGGCTATTCCCAGGCCATTCCAGCAGTGGAATAGGATTATCTTGAAACTCCCCCCAAAAAGTGGTGTTATTAGCCATCAAACCTCAAAAATACACTTTTCCCAAAAGGTTTCCACAATTTTGGCCACTACTGTACTCTTTTGCAGAAGAAGGTTTTTGCCTCACTTCCCTATGCAGGTGGCATCACTGTGAAACATCCAGTTACCGTCATAAGACTGACAATAATATTCTGCCTCATCTTCTGGTTGAACACCCGTAATTGTTAAAGTAGCTCTAGAACTGTCGGTCACCCCAGAGAATCGGTCTGGAACGTCAGCAGGCCTGTTGACGTGCTGATAAATCAATAGTTTGGGCGGCTCAACGGATTTCTGTTGATACCAGGACACGTAGTAACCAGACATAGCTCCACTGCTCCTTGTGCAGGAGATCTGGACCCTTCCTTCAAGACGTGCTGACACGGAAGCTGGTTGAGTCAATACAAATTGGGCTGAAGCCCCTGTAAGAAATAAAACATAGGGAAGAAATGGCCAGGTGAGACTTGGGTTCCATCAAAGTCAACTGAAAAGAGAACGAAGCCCACTAATATTATAGGAGGTTAACAGAATAACAGAGTTGGAAGGGACCTTGGAGGTCTTCTAGTCCAACCCTTTGCTCAAGGTAGGAAAAGAGTAGAGTAGAGTAGAGTAGAGTAGAGTAGAGTAGAGTAGAGTAGAGTAGAGTAGAGTAGAGTAGAGTAGAATAGAATGAGTTGGAAGGGATCTTGGATGTCTTCTAGTCCAACCCTCTTCTCAAGGTAGGAATAGAGTAGAGTAGAGTAGAGTAGAGTAGAGTAGAGTAGAGTAGAGTAGAATAGAATAGAATAGAATAGAATAGAATAGAATAGAATAGAATAGAATAGAATAGAATAGAATAGAATAGAATGAGTTGGAAGGGATCTTGGAGGTCTTCTAGTCCAACCCCTGCTCAAGCAGGAGACCCTGTACCATTTCAGACAAATGGTTGTCCAATCTCTTCTCAAAAACCTCAAGTATCAGAGCCCCACAACTTCTGGAGGCAAGTCGTTCCACTGATTAATTGTTCTAATATCATGAAATTTCCCCTTAGTTCTAAGTTGCTTCTCTCCTCAATTAGTTTCCACCCATTGCTTCTTGTCCTGCCTTCAGGTCCTTTGGAGAATAGGTTGACTCCCTCTTCTTTGGGGCAGCCTCTCAAATATGTCACCCCCTTAGTCCTTCTTTTCATTAAATTGGACATACCTAATTCCTGCAGCCATTCGTATGTTTTAACCTCCAGTCCCCTAATCATCTCTTCTTGGTTACATCTTTCCTTGGAGGTTACCCGAAGAGAGCAAAAGATATAAATCCAAGAGTTTACATTTGGAAGCATGTTCTCCTTTACCTGTGCAATAAGAAAAAACGAGGAAGAAGAGAACAGCGTGTGCCATGTTGAAGCCAAGGGTATAAGGGATGGCCATGTCAGATGTTCTATGTGCAAAAACTTTTGGAGATATTACTTTACTTTAAAGGCCAAGTGTGGGAAAATGCAAAGCCATGCAAAGGTCACTTCCTCTACGTTGGTGGTTGTCATCACCATTCGTGGCCACTGTAAAGTTATAGGGAGGGGGAAACACTTTGTCACCGCACAGTTCCAAGGTTCTAGATTGGCCAGTTAAGAGGACACACTCATGGGCTATCTAGTTGGTTTGACTTGACTATCATTTATCTGAATCAGGATTTCTCCAGACACAACGGTTAAGTTGAACCAAGGATGGAGAAGCACCGGTGTCCCAGCTGTTGGCCTAGACCAATTTTTAGAAGATCCTATTAGCCTTGCCAGTGTCAACTCGCAAAGCATCCCTGGCCTGCTCTCGAGTTGCCATAGGCTGGGGGGGGATGGGAAACCAGTGAAATGGCATGACAGCCAAAGACAGATGCACATTCCATGCTTATCTCTCTCAAGGCTGTATCCCAGGGTTACCTACAGCAGCCGGAGGGGTGCGACCTCTACAACCCGCGAAATTGCTCCGTTGGCGAATGTGATTGATGACACACCCTGGGGGGAGTGGGGAAACAGGGTCATAATTGGGGTGTAAATTACGTAGGGTTAGAGCTGGCTTCACTTGGGAATGTGCCGACATGAAGCTTCTAATAAATAACTGGGTTTCTTTTGAAGCTTGGCTCCAGGCTCATGGTTTAATTAGGGCATCTGTCAAAACCCTGACAGCCAGCTTTTATTCAAATGATGTTATAACAATAGCATTCTTTTACCTGTGCAATAAGAAAAAATGAGGAAGAAGGGAACAGCTTGTGCCATGTTGTTCTTCCTTATCCAGCCTAACAAAATGTTCAGGCCAGTGGTGAAATTCATTTTTTTTTTTACTACTGTGGGCATGGCTTGGTGGGTGTGGCAGGGGAAGGATACTGCAAAATCTCCATTCCCACCCCACTCCAGGGGAAGGGTACTGCAAAATCCCCATTCCCCCCCCCCCACTCCTGGGGGAAGGATATTGCAAAATCTCCATTCCCACTCCACTCTGGAGCCAGCCAGAGGTGGTATTTCAGTGGCGGGTTTCAAAATTTTTTACTACCGGTTCTGTGCGTGTGGCTTGATGGGGCATGGCAGGGGAAGGATACTGTAAAATCTCCATTCCCACCACACTCCGGGGGAAAGATACTGCAGAATCTCCATTCCCTTCCCAATCAAGGGGAAGGTTATTGCAAAATCCCCATTTCTTCCTGTTCAGCTGGGACTCGGGAGGCAGAGAATAGATGGGGGCAGAATTTTTAATACCGGTTCTCCGAACTACTCAAAATTTCCACTACCGGTTCTCCAGAACTGGTCAGAACCTGCTGAAACCCACCTCTGTGGTATTTGCCGGTTCTCCGAACTACTCAAAATTTCCGCTACCGGTTTTCCACAACCTGTCAGAACCTGCTGGATTTCACCCCTGGTTCAGACAATCTTCAAGAGTAGGAATTATTCCTGGGAACTGGATAGTGATGAGTAGAAGAGATGGAGGTCAATAGAAATGCCCCAACAGTTTCATCTGGATATCAGATAACACGAGGAACAAGCTACCAGACAGCTAATCCATGCCGCAGTCATCAACATATAATCTCATAGCACCACCTTCTGGATATTACTTAAAAGAAGAGATCAGAAAACACTTGTAAAATAATGGCAGTTTCTCAGAAGATCTTTAAGACCGGCTGTTCTCCCAGGAATGGTGGTTGGAAAGTTAGGCGAGCTTTTGAGATATTGTGATTAATGTTGATAGTTTGGGCTGCCATGTTTTATTTTTATTCTGTTTTGTTATGTTAACATTAGCTTGATGGTTTTAGCTCTGTTCTGTGCCCAAACAATGAACATTTGTATGAGATGGTGGGGCCACATAAGTAGAATTTATAAACAAATGCAGTCAATGGATACAAGATCGTATTGCTTTCAGTCGGTGGTGAAATGTAAAATTTGTTATTACCGGTTCTGTGGGCGTGGCTTGGTGGTGGTGGTGGGTAATATGACTGAGTGGGAGTGGCCAACTTTTTTTTTTTTTACTTTTTTTTTTTTACTTTTAAAACCATTTTTTCTACAACCTCTTCGAATCAGCGGGATTCGAACCACTGAACTGCTGAGCTTTCGGTCGACCATCTCAGCATCATAGCCACTGAGTCCGCGGGTATCCTACCATAGTATAAAAAAAAAGAGAATCTCAATCCATGGCATTCCTTAGAGATTTACCCCCAAAAAACCAGGTCTGTGCTCGCAATTTTAAAACTAATTTTAAATTTAAAACTAAAGAGCCTTGATAGTACAGTGGTCTAAGCACCCTGTTATTAACACAGCTGCCTGCAATTACTTGCTGGTTCGAATCTCACCAGGCTCAAGGTTGACTCAGCCTTCCATCCTTTCTAAGGTAGGTGAAATGAGGACCCGGTTTGTGGGGGCAATAAGCTGACTTTGTATAAATATACAAAAGTATGAAGGCTATTGCTTAACGCATTGTAAGCCGCCCTGAGTCTCCGGAGAAGGGCAGCATATAAATCAAATTAAAAAAAAAAATACATTGAATATTTGTCAACTGCAGGCCACTTTGTCAGATGGATATGGTGGCCTGATTGATGTAGGATTTCAATGAAGGGGTGAAGCCAGGATAGCAAAGGAAGGGACTAAAAGGCCATCCATAAATGTTAGAACATTTATGAATTAGAATATTTAGTTAGAATATTTGCTGGCTGGAAATGATCTAAAAGTTGTCTCACACTCAGTCAAGGATTTAGGAATATTCACTTCCAAAGATCTGAGTCCCAGAGCTCACTTTAACATCATTGCAAAAAAAAAAAAAAAAAAAGGCATTAAGAGTTGTCAAAGTTTTCTTTCTGGTAACTCTATACTTCAAACTAGGGCGTATAAAACCTTTGCCAGACCTAAACTTGAATACTGTTCACCTGCCTGGAACCCTCACTGTATTTCAGACATCAATACATTAGAGAGGGTCCAGAGATATTTTACTAGAAGAGCCCTCAAATCCTCTGCTCGAAATAAAAGTCCCTATCCCACCAGGCTCTGCAACCCAACAAGAGAGACACAGACTTCAGAGGATCATTAGAACTGCAGAAAAAACAATGGCTACCAACCTGCCTTCCATGGAGGACCTGTATACTGCAGGAGTCAAAAAGAGGGCTGTGAAAATATTTACAGACTCCTCGCATCCTGGACATAAACTGTTTCAACTCCTACCCTCAAAACGAGGCTATAGAGCACTGCACACCAGAACAACTAGACACAAGGACAGTTTTTTCCTGAACGCCATCATCTGCTAAATGAATAATTCCCTCAACACTGTCAAACTATTCACTAGGACTGTATTACTATTATTCTTCTCATACTTCCTATCATCCATCTCCTCCCACTTATGACTGTATGACTGTAACCTTGTTGCTAGTATCCTTAGGATTTATATTGACTGTTTCCTAATATGATTTGATTGCTTATTTGTTCCCTATGACTATCATTAAGTGTTGCACCTTATGATTCTTGATGAATGTATCTTTTCTTTTTATGTACACTGAGAGCGTATGCACCAAAGACAAATTCCTTCGGTGTCCAATCACACTTGGCCAATAAAGAATTCTATTCTATTCTATTCTATTCTGTTCTGTTCTGTTCTGTTCTGTTCTGTTCTGTTCTGTTCTATTCTATTCTATTCTACTCTACTCTACTCTACTCTACTCTACTCTATTCTAGTCCTTATTTCTATTCTATTCTATTCTATTCTATTCTATTCTATTCTACTCTACTCTAGTCCTTATTTCTATTCTATTCTATTCTATTCTATTCTATTCTATTCTATTCTATTCTACTCTACTCTACTCTACTTTCTCTACTCTACTCTATTCTAGTCCTTATTTCTATTCTATTCTATTCTATTCTATTCTATTCTATTCTACTCTATTCTACTCTATTCTAATCCTTGTTTCTATTCTATTCTATTCTATTCTATTCTATTCTATTCTATTCTATTCTATTCTACTCTACTCTACTCTACTCTAGTCCTTATTTCAATTCAATTCTATTCTATTCTATTCTATTCTATTCTATTCTACTCTAATCCTTGTTTCAATTCTATTCTATTCTATTCTATTCTATTCTATTCTATTCTATTCTATTCTACTCTAATCCTTGTTTCAATTCTATTCTATTCTATTCTATTCTATTCTATTCTATTCTATTCTATTCTACTCCTTATTTCAATTCTATTCTATTCTATTCTATTCTATTCTATTCTATTCTATTCTATTCTATTCTATTCTATTCTACTCTAATCCTTGTTTCTATTCTATTCTATTCTATTCTATTCTATTCTATTCTATTCTATTCTATTCTATTCTATTCTATTCCTTACCAGCATGTATCATGTTTGGCATTTGGCCTTGTCTCTAAGACAAACTTGATGTTGAGCTTAAAAAGAGATCTTTTTTAAAAAAAGATGAGAGAAGATTCTTCTAAAACTCAGATACCATCATATCCCCAAGAGTCTAAAACAGAGTGACAGGAAACACCTGACAGCTTGGGAAGACTAAGAGGAACCAAGAACAATATCTCACACATTTCCAAGTCATGCATATCGGAGGTGAACTTCTGCAAGGTTTTTGTTTAGGTCTTCAGTGGGATTATATCATTGTGCACTTGCCACCACCTACTAAATACAGGCAATGATAATCAGCTTCATCCTCTGCCTGAAGATTGGAGATGGTTAACACGGCAGATGTTTTAGAGTTTTCAATAGAACCAGAGAATCGTTCTGGGATTCCAGAGGCTCTGCTGCTATCACGATATATCATGAGTTTGGGGACATTTCCAGGCTTCTGTTGATACCAGGAGGATTGCTGTGATCCAAATGTTCCACTGTTTATAGTACAAGTGATTCGGATGGTTGCTCCAGGAGATCCAGCCACAGATTCTGGTTGAGTCAGGACAACTTGAGAAAAAGTCCCTGAAAGACAACAAAGATCACAGGAAAGTCTCAATCAGCACAATCTTCATTTCAATCAGAAGAAACGTGTGGTAGGAACAGAAATTAGAAGATGGATCTCTGAATTATTAGAAGGAAGGCTATAGTCACAGCAATTTTAGAGTAGAAATCCCAAGAGATCAATTACCCATAAAAGAGGAGGAGAAGAGGAGAAGAAGAGGCAGCCAAGCCATGGTTGGAGATGACATCAGAAGAGAATTGTCTGCAGATCCATCTGTCCTCGCTCCTTTTAAGCCTTTTGCCAGTGGGGAATTCAAATCCATGCAAATGATCTGCCTGCTCATTGAATCTTCCTCAGATATCAAAGCCTCCTTCAGATAAAAGGAAAGACCTTCCCTTGCAGGTTCCTTCCTGCCTGAGCAGGGGTTGGACTAGAAGATCACCAAAGTCCCTTCCAACTCTGTTATTCCCTTTGAGTATCATGATATGCTGATGCAGCCTTTGAGGAGACCATCCTGTTTGTTGAGTGAGAAAATTTGAGAAGGAGTTCAGCTCACCTGAGATGTAGATAGTGTGCATGAGATTTATCTTCTTGATCCTTCCTTGTTCAGGCTGAGACTGATCCCTCTCAGCTTTCAGGGAAATTAATGCCTTCAGGGATGTTAGTAATCACAACCGTCTATGTTAGGTCACAAGTTCATGTTTTCCTGAAAAGTCATTGTGCTCATCCCATGGGATCTCCAAGAGTAGAAAAAAAATCAGTTCAGAGGCCACATGAACTGCTAAGTTGGAGCTGGTGTCCCACCATAATATAAAAAGGAAGCGCAATCCATTTATTTATTTCTTTATATTGATTATTATTCACACTCTTTCCCATGCGTGCTGCTATATTTTGACTTTTATCTGTTTTCTGCCACTTGTGCCCCTTGAGAAGGGAAATACATTTTCTCATTGCTACTGACAGCCTGAATTAGGAGCCTCCTTAAACCAGAACTCGGTGGACTAAAATTTCAGACTGAGTTTACAAAACATGGCAATCCTGACCTCTGCTGGTTATGTCACCGAAGCCTCAAGGTACTTTTGGGGGGTTGGGCAAAGCAGATGCCCAGATTCTCTTTGTCACAATGAAGAAAAAGCATCGTGACCTATATCAAATATAAATAGCATGTTTAAATTTATTTTTTCATTGACCGTAAAGGAGGTGGATGAGAAGGAAGAACGAGAACATAGGGGATCATAGTTATGACCTAACCTTAACCCTAACTCTAACCCTAACTCTAACCCTATAAAACCATAGATTCTTTTAAAAAAAACACCCGTTTAAGACCAACAGAATCAACAAAGGAGAGTCCAGTTGTAGGCAATTTGAGAGGGACTGAAGATGCTCAAGGAGGCAGAATTGGACGAACTATTGACAGAGCCAGAAAAATGAGTGGAGGCTTTAAAGAGTCTCAGGTTTCTGATGAGGGCACTGCTGATCCCAGGAGTTGTATTAATCACCAATATTTCCACTCATTCTGGTACAACAAATCCTAATTGTTTCTCCTTAGGATGCTGAAAGAGAAGGGGGAGGATTAAGGAGAACCTGGGCCAAAAGATCTGAAAGGCAGCAAAGAGAAAGTTTTGGTCAAAAGGGGATAATTCCAAAGGGCAGAGAAACATTAGATGGGAAACGGAAGACTGAAGGACTACAAACAAGATTCTCTGATCAGAATTGATCAATAAGAACCAAAATGTGAGTGCTCCAGATCATAAGGGTTGATGTTAAACAGTCAAAACTTTTCCATCACTATGGCAGAGTGGACAGAGAAGAAGAGGAGGAGATGAGGCTAGGTTGTACCTGGAATGTGGGCTAAAGATCCAGAATATGGCTGTTGTCTCCAAACAACTACTATCAGAAATGATCTGGGTGAATCTGTATGGTAAATCATTCATAATCCATAATTCAATGGATCCCTTTCATTCCATCCACCAGGAAATCCCAGACCAATTATAACACCCTTCTTGAATTCAGATACCGTCACATCCCTCAGAGTCTAAGTGGGTGTGACAGCAGGAAGGAAGCACCTGAGGATTTGAGAAGGCTAAGGGGAACCAAGAAGAAGATGTCACACGTTGGCTAGTCATGCATATTGATGTTCCCCTGCAGAAGGTTTTTGTTCAGCTCTTCAGTGGGATTGTAGCACTGTGTACGTGTTACTGCCTGCATAAGAGAGGCAAAAATAACCACCTTCATCTTCTGCCTCAAGATTGGAGATGCTTAAGACGGCAGATGTTCTAGAGTTTTCAACAGAACCGGAGAATCGTGCTGGGATTCCAGAGGCTCTGCTGCTATCAGCATATATAAGGAGTTTGGGGGCACTGCTAGGCTTCTGTTGATACCAGGAGGAATGCCCTGAGCCAATTGTTCCACTGCTTGTAGTACAAGTGATTCGGATTGTCCCTCCAGGAGATCCAGACACAGAAGCTGGTTGATTCAGGACAAACTGGGAAAAAGTCCCTGAAAGAAAGCAAAGGTGACAGGAAAGACTCAGTCAGCACAATGTTCACTTCAGCAACAGAGACAGATGTGGTTGGAACAGAAATGTGAAAGTCAAAGTAGAGGAGAAACCACTTCTCTGAATTATTAGGAGATGGGGAAAGATCTAAAGTCATAGCCATTTGAGGCAGACATCCCAAGTCATGAATTACCCATAAAGTAAGTGGAGAGGATGAGAAGTGGCAGCCAAGCCATGGTGGAAGTCAGGGTTGAATTGCCTGCAGATCCATCTGTTGTCTCTGCTCTTAAGCCTTTTGCCAGTGGGGAATTCAAATCCATGCAAATGATCTGCCTACTCATTGAATCTTCCTCAGATATCAAAGCCTCCTTCAGCTAAAACGAAAGACCTTCCCTTGAAGGTTCCTTCCTGCCTGAGCAGGTGTTGGACCAGAAGACATCCAAGGTAGAAAGTGGGCATGAGAATTGTCCTCATTTTATCGTCTTGATCCTTCCTTGTTCAGGCTGAGACAGATCCCTCTCAGCTTTTCAGGGAAATTGTGGCCTTCAGGGATGTTAGGAATGAAAACCGTCTTTGTTAGGTTACAAGTTCATGTTTTCCTGAAACGTTGATGACGAGATGAAGGATTTCTCCCCAGATCAAACCTGGTTCTAGATATATACAGAAAATCTGAATTGGCAAAAGGACACCAGTCAACCTGGACTACAGCTAAACTAATAAGGCTTCTCCAAAGAAAGGAGGCTAATGGCACTGCCTTGCTTCCTTGCCCATCTAACTGACTTTATTGTTTATCAGGATGAACCATAGCAATAGCAATAGCACTTAGACTTATATACTGCTTTACATTGCTTTACAGCCCTCTCTAAACAGTTTACAGGGTCAGCCACTTGCCCTCAGCAATCTGGGTCCACATGTAACCAACCTCAGAAGGATGGAAGGTTGAGTCAACCTTTTTCTAGTCAGGATCAAACTCCTGGCTGTGGGCAGAGTCAGCCTGCAATACTGCATTCTAACCATTGAGCACCATGGATGGATGGATGGATGGATGGATGGATGGATGGATGGATGCATGGATGGATGCATGGATGGATGCATGGATGCATGCATGGATGCATGGATGCATGGATGGATGGATATATGCATGGATGGATGGATAGATGGGTAGATAGATGAATGGGAGGGAGGGTGAAAGGGAGGGAGGAAGGAAGGAAGGAGAAATGGAAGAATAGTAGCAATAGCACATAGACTTATATATCATTTCACAGTGCTTCACAGTCCTCTCTAACCAGTTTACAGAGTCAGCCTTTTGCCCCCAACAATTAGGGTCCTCATTTTAACCACCTCAGAAGGATGGAAGGCTGAGTCAACCTTAAACTTGATGAGATTCGAACTGCCAAATTGAAAGCAGCTGGTAGTCAGCAGAAGTAGCCTGCAGGACTGCACTCTAACCACTGCACCAAACCATGTTTGGCATTTGTCCTTGTTTCTAATATCCGCTTGTTGATGAGCTTAGAAACAGATCTTTCTGTTTTAAAAAGGGAGAGAAGATACAATTCTGTCATCTCTTGGTGGTCTTCTTTATTAGCAGGGAAAGCAAACCAATAAACATGTTTCAGTTCCTTTCTAGAGGTTTTGGTCTCACTTCTCTATCTGAATCAAGCACTGTGCACCCGTTCCCGATCCAAACTAAACAGTAATAAGTAGCCTCGTCTTCCACCAAGGCCCCCGTGATGGTCAGAGACATGGTGTTTCCTGACCTGGAGCCAGAGAAACGGGCTGGGACACCTGAGGGCCTGCTGCTGGTCGTGTGTATTAAGAGCCTTGGGGTCTGCTCTGCCTTCTGCTGGATCCATCGTGGGTAATTGTTGTCAGTGATGGTTCCTCCACCATATCTACAGGACATGACGATTGTCCCTCCTAGAGCTACAAAGTCTGGATCTTTCAGGCTCTGCAGTTGCTGGACACTGGCTCCTGAAAGAGGATGTGGAATTTAGGGAACAAGAGAGAACATGGAATGAAGGAACATAAGGTGAATCTACACTGTGCACCCAACCCACAGCCAGCATTTGCTGCACGGCTTTCCACGTGGAGACCATCAAAAGGATTTTTCCACCTATCCCCTGATTCTCTTGGTCTCACCTAAGGAAGACAGGATGGTGAAGAGCAGAAGAACCCAAGCCATGGTGGACAATTAGATGATGATCTTCCTCAATGAATCCATCAATCATTGGCTTCAACCTGGCCTCTCTTAAATCCCTAGAGGGGAGGAATACAATTAGTATGCAAATGAGGTTGCTCTTAAAACCATGGTGATCCCTGTACTTACCAAACAGGAGGACTGTACGGTTAACTAAAGGTGTAAGCTGTATTTTACTGATCAACATACGACATTTGTGAGCTTAGAGATGAATAGATAAATTGGTTGAATCAGAGTTTGTAGCATGAACTGGAGAATCCTAGGGTGAAATCATCACTCTACTCTTAATCTCATTGAGCTGTCTTCATCCATGGACTGCATTTGCTCTATTTCCTTATATATAATTTCTCTAAGAAAACAGTAAAGCCATCAAGATCCCACAAGGTGCCTTTTCCCCCCAAAAGGAAAATGGACTATGTTTTTTCTTGAGGAAGAAATGCTTTTTTTTTCTTGAAGAAGTTTCCCTTCTCATCCAAGAGGCTTCATCAGTTCTGACAGGATGCTGGGGAGACCTGTCAGAACTGATGAAGTTTCTTGGATGAGAAGGGAAACATCTTCCTCAAGGAAAGAACATTTCTTCCTCAAGGAAAAAACATTGTCTAGTTGCCTTTTTTGGGAGGGAAAAAAGCATCTTTGAGACACCCATGATCTGGATGACTGAGAATCTTCATAGACCTCAAGATATCTAACAGGAAAGACAACATATCAATATATAAGAAATAATCCCAAGGTTCTTATTCGGGATCCAGTAGACCCCACAAATTGGAGCCCTTATTTATGTGTTTGTTTAAATTAATTAATATTACAGAAGGTGGGGAGGGAATGAATTCCATATATGCTTCTCCACAACAAAGAATTCAAGGTGGAACGTCATGAGTCAGAAGTAAATTCCTCTTCTCAGTCTAGTTGATTCTCATCCTTTGTTTCTCCCTTCTGCCTCTCCATTCTATGCTATAAACCACCATTGCAATTAGATCAATGTATGGATAGTGCCAGCCTTATCTAGAAGGGAAAACATTTTTTCTCATTGCTACCATTAATCTGAACACCCAGCGTCCATAAACCAGAACTCCTCCTTGGGCTAAAATGTGAGACTGAGTTTAGAAAACTTGGCAATCCTGACCTCTACTGGTGATGTCACTATAACCTTGTTAGGTTTATGCAGCTCAGAATCTAGATAAATCCCCATGAGGCACTCTGAACACGAGGCAATTGAAATTCAGCCTTATTTTTGATCAAAAATCAAAAACTGGGCGTCTTAAATCCCTTGCCTTAAATCGAACAAGGCAGAGAGAGAGAAAAGGAAATGTCGTGCACTAACTAAAACTTTTTTTTTATACTTTACACATAGTTCATGCGCAATCCGTCATTGTGTTAGAAGCATAATTTCTTATCCATTAGTTCATGCAAAAGCTCATGATTTTCCCAGCGCTTGGGAACAATAGGGCTCACAAGGAAAAAGGAATAGACATTTTCTGGCACTTAGCCCAACGCTTGCTACAGCTGTTACCTCACATTGGGTATTTACCTCTACTGGAAATGTCGCTATGACTTCAAGGTAGTTTTGGTGTTGGAAGGGCAGGTGCCAAGATTCTCTTTCCCAAGATAAAGAAGAAGCATAGTAACCAACATCAAATGAAATGGCAAGTGTGCACCCACTTTTTCATGACTCTAAAGATGGTGGGTGAGAAGGAGGAATGCGAAGGGAAACATAGTTTTGATCCAGAAAAACATAGTATTTTTTTTTTTAATATAAAGTTGAAGACAAACAAAACCATGAAGGAGAGTAAATGATGTGAGAATGTTTGGGGATTTCAAGGGGACAAAATTTGGAAGAAATGTTGATAGAGCCAGAGAACTGAGCTAAGATGTTAAAGGATCTCGTACTTTGCTCATATATCAGATCTGAGGTGTTGTGTTAATTTCAATTTTTTTCTGCTCCTTTTGGTACAAAAGATTCTCACTGTTTCACCAAAAGATGCTGAACGAGAAGGGGGCTGATTCAAAACAATCCGGGTCAAAATCTTGAAAGAAAGCAAAGAGTAAAGAACAGTTTCCACCAAAGACGGGGAGAGAAATGTTAAATCGGAAAGGGAAGATTGACAGAATCAGAAAAACCTCCCTGAACAGCAATGATGAGATAAGATAAGAACCAAAAAGTGGGTATCCAGATTAGAAGGTTGATAAGAAGAGGAAATACAACCAGCCCAAAGCTGGAAAGTGGTATTTCCAAATGGACCAGTAAGAGAAGTATTCTGGTTAATCTATTTTTTTTAAAATAATCTTTATTTACATTTTCCATTAAAAACAAAAAGAGAACAACACATTATATGAATAACAAACAAAACATACAAGACAAGACAACAAAAAAACACAAAACTAGCATATCTATAAGCAGTACCTTAATAACCTAGTACTCGGTACTGTATATCTATATTATAATCCGGAGAAGACAGAACATCTTACATATCTTTATAAAACAATTAGGTGTATCCGACCTCATTTTACTTGCATAATATAAGTTTCTCAGTAAATATAGTTCCTCTTCTAATTTGGGTTATATTTTCCTTTTCTCTAGCCACCTATAGAATTTTTCCCAAGATAAACATATTTGTGTTTGATCTCTATCTTGTAATTTTTTGGTCAATTTATCGGCTTCCACACAGTCTAAAATCTTTTTTTATAATAGCTTCCTCTGATGGGATACTTTGATTTTTCCAAAGTTGAGCATACGCCAATCTCGCCGCTGTGATAATATGTAATGCAAGATACCATACATCTCTTTTAATACCTTGCCATATCTCCAATGTTTCCACTCATTTTGGGGTGGGATAAAGGTGGACACTATGTCTGGTATTTCCAAATGGACCATTATGAGAAGTGTTCTGGTTAATCTAGATGCTAAATCATGCAGTCATAAGACAACTGATCCCATTCCATCCTCCCACCATAAAGTCCCAGTCCAATTGCAGCATCCTTCTAAAACTCAGAGGTCATCATATCCCCAAGAGTCTAAAATGGAGGGACAGGAGTGACATAAACCTGACAGCTTGGGAAGACTTAGAGGAACCAAGAACAATATCTCACACATTCACAAGTCATGCATATCGGAGGTCAGCTGCTGCAAGGTTTTTGTTCTGGTCTTCAGTGAGATTGCATCATTGTGCACTTGCCACTACCTATATAATACAGGCAATGATAATCAGCTTCATCCTCTGCCTGAAGATTGGAGATGGTTAACACGGCAGATGTTTTAGAGTTTTCAATAGAACCAGAGAATCGTTCTGGGATTCCATCGGGTCTGCGGCTATCTTCATATATAATGAGTTTGGGGGCATTTCCAGGCTTCTGTTGATACCAGGAGGAATCCGCTGTATCAAGTGTTCCACTGTTTTTAGTGCAAGTGATTCGGATGGTTGCTCCTAGAGATCCAGCCACAGATTCTGGTTGAGTTAGGACAACTTGAGAAAAAGTCCCTGGAAAAAAAACAAAGAGGACAGGAAAGATTCTATCAGCACAATCTTCATTTCAATCAGAAGAAACAGTGGTAGGAACAGAAATTAGGAGATGGAACTCTGAATTATCAGGAGGAAGGCTATAATCACAGCAGTTTTTAGTAGAAATCCCAAGACATCAATTACCCATAAAAGAGGAGGAGAAGAGGAGAAGAAGAGGCAGCCAAGCCATGGTTGGAGATGACATCGGAAGTGAATTGTCTGCAGATCCATCTGTCCTCTCTCCTCTTAAGCCTTTTGCCAGTGGGGAATTCAAATCCATGCAAATGATCTACCTGCTCATTGAATCTTCCTCAGATATCAAAGCCTCCTTCATCTAAAACGAAAGACCTTCCCTTGAAGGTTCCTTCCTGCCTGAGCAGGTGTTGGACCAGAAGACATCCAAGGTAGAAAGTGGGCATGAGAATTGTCCTCATTTTAGCGTCTTGATCCTTCCTTGTTCAGGCTGAGACAGATCCCTCTCAGCTTTTCAGGGAAATTATGGCCTTCAGAGATTTTAGGAATGAAAACTGTCTTTGTTAGGTTACAAGTTCATGTTTTCCTGAAAAATTGTTGTGCTCATCCCATGGGATCTCCAAGAGTAGAAAAAAAATTCACTTCAGAGGTGACATGGACTGCTAAGGTTGGAGCTGGTGTCCCACCATAGTATAAAAAGGAAGCTCAATCCATTTATTTATTTATTTATTTATTTATTTATTTATTTATTTATTTATTTATTTATTTATCCACACTCTTTCCCATGCATTCTATTATATTTTGACTTTCATCTGTTTTCTGCCACTTGTACCCCTTGAGAAGGGACACATTTTCACATTTTCTCATCGATACTAACAGCTTGAATTAGGAGCCTCCTTCAACTAGAACTCTGAGGACTAAAATTTGAGACTAAGTTTGCAAAACATGGCAATCCTGACCTCTGCTGGTTATGTCACCCAAGCCTCAAGGTACTTTTTAGGTGTTAGGCAAAGCAGAGGTCAAAATAAAGAAGAAGCATAGTGACCTACATTAAATGTAAATACCATGTTTAAATCTATTTTTTCATGACATTAAAGGAAGTGGATGAGAAGGAACAATGGGAACAGAGGGGAACGTAGTTATGACCGTAACCTTAACCTGAAACTCTAACCCTAACCCTATAAAACCATAGAATTTTTTTTAAAACACCCAACATTTAAGACCAACAAAGGAGAGTCCAGTTGTAGGCAATTTGAGAGGGATTGAAGATACTCTAGGAGGCAGAATTGGACAAATATTGACAGAGCCAGAAAAATGAGTGGAGATTTTAAAGAGTCCCTTAGTTTGCTCATGATTTTGATGAGGGCACTGCTGATCTCAGGAACTGTATTAATCTCCCATATTTCCACTCATTTTGTCACAACAAATCCTGACTGTTTCTCTGTAGGATGCTGAAAGAGAAGGGGGAGGATTAAGGAGAACCTGCACCAAAAGATATGAAAGGAAGCAATAATTCAACAGATCCCTTTCATTCCATCCACCTGGAAATCCCAGACTGATTATAACACCCTTCTCAAATTCAGATACCATCACATCCCTGAGAGTCTAAGTGGGTGTGACAGCAGGAAGGAAGCACCTGAGAATTTGCGAAGGCTAAGAGGAACCAAAAAGAGGATGTCACACGTTGGCTAGTCATGCATATGGATGTTCCCCTGCACAAGGTTTTTGTTCAGCTCTTCAATGGGACTGTAGCACTGTGGACTTGCCACTGCTTTCATAAGAGAGGCAATAATAATCACCTTCATCTTCTGCCACAAGACTGGAGATGCTTAAGACGGCAGATGTTCTAGAGTTTTCAACAGAACCGGAGAATCGTGCTGGGATTCCAGAGGCTCTGCTGCTATCATAATATATAAGGAGTTTGGGGGCACTGCTAGGCTTCTGTTGATACCAGGAGGAATATTGTGATCCAATTGTTCCACTGCTTATAGTACAAGTGAGTCGGACTGTCTCTCCAGGAGATCCAGACACAGAAGCTGGTTGATTCAGGACAAACTGGGAAAAAGTCCCTGAAAGAAAGCAAAGATGAACAGGAAAGACTCAGCACAATGTTCACTTAAGCAACAGAGACAGATGTGGTAGGAACAGAAATGTGAAAGTCAAAGTAGAGGAGAAACCACTTCTCTGAATTATTAGGAGATGGGGAAAGATCTAAAGTCATAGCCATTTTAGGCAGACATCCCAAGTCATCAATTACCCAAAAAGTAAGTGGAGAGGATGAGAAGTGGCAGCCAAGCCATGGTGGAAGTCAGGGTGGAATTGTCTGCAGATCCAGCTGTGCTCTCTGCTCTTAAGCCTTTTGCCAGTGGGGAATTCAAATCCATGCAAATCTTTTGCCTGCTCATCAATTCTTCCTCAGACATGAGAGCCTGCTTGAGATAAAAGGAAAGATCGTCCTTTGAAGTTTCCTTCTCTTCAAGGATTTGCTGGTGGAGCTTTTGTGGACACTCCCCTGTTTGACAGAGTGGCAACATTTGGGAAGGAGGTCAGAGCAGCTGCAGAGGACAAAGCTTCCATGAGAAATGTCCTCTCTTTCTCTCCTTCATCCTTCTTTGTTCAGCCTGAGAATCATTCCACTCAGCAATCCAAGGGAATTTTGGCCCAGTTTAGAGATGTTAGGAGAGGCAACAATGTTAGGTTACAAATGTATGTTTTCCAGAAAATCTGCAGTGCTGCAATGCTCAACAGGGTTGACAAAAAATCAGTTCAGAGGCTGCATGGACTACCATACTTAGATAAGAGCTGGTGCCCCACCATGATATAAGAGAACTAGGGCCAAAATCTTGAAATAAAGGAAAGAGTAAAGAACATTTTCCACTAAGGAGGTGTAATTCCAAAGGGGAGAGAAATGTTAGATCTGAAAGGGAAGAGTGACGGACTCAGAAGAAGCTTCCCTGAACAAAAATGATCAATAAGAATCAAAAAGTGGGGGTCCAGATCAGAAGGTTGATAAGATCAGGAGAAGGAAGGCAAGCCCATAGTTGGAATGTTGAATAAATGTTGAATAAAGACGTGCAATAGGGCTGTTGTCCAAATGGGATATTATGTGAAGTGCTTTGAGTGAATCTGTATGCTAAATGAGATATAATGACAGGTCAACTGATCCCATTGCATCCTCCCACCATAAAGTCCCAGTCCAATTGCAGCATCCGTCTAAAACTCAGATACCATCAAACCCCCAAGAGTCTAAAATGGAGGGACAGGAGTGAGGAAACACCTTTTGGGGGGTTGGGCAAAGCAGATGCCCAGATTCTCTTTGTCACAATGAAGAAAAAGCATCGTGACCTACATCAAATATAAATAGCATGTTTAAATCTATTTTTTCATGACCGTAAAGGAGGTGGATGAGAAGGAAGAATGGGAACAGAGGGAATCATAGTTATGACCTAACCTTAACCCGAACCCTAACTTTAACCCTAACTCTAACCCTATAAAACCATAGATTCTTTTAAAAAAACACCCAATGTTTAACACCAACAAAATTAAAAAAGGAGAGCCAAGTTGTAGGCAATTTGAGAGCGACTGAAGATGCTCAAGGAGGCAGAATTGGATCAACTATTGACAGAGCCATAAAAATGTGTGGAGGTTCTAAAGAGTCTCTTATTTTGCTCATGTTTCTGACGAGGGCACTGCTGATCCCAGGAGTTGTATTAATCTCCCATATTTCCACTCATTTTGTTACAACAAATCCTGACCGATTGTTGTAGGATGCTGAAAGAGAAGGGGGAGGATTAAGGAGAACCTGGGCCAAAAGATCTGAAAGGAAGCAAAGAGAAAGTTTCGGTAAAAGGGGGATAATTCCAAAGGGCAGAGAAATATTAGATGGGAAAGGGAAGACTGAAGGACTCCAAAGAAGCTTCTCTGATCAGAATTGATCAATAAGAACCAAAACGTGAGTGCTCCAGATCAGAAGGGTTGATGTTAAACAGTCAAAACTTTTCCATCACTATGGCAGAGTGGACAGAGAAGAAGAGGAGACGAGGCTAGGTTGTAGCTGGAATGTGGGCTAAAGATCCAGAATATGGCTGTTGTCTCCAAACAACTATTATTAGAAATGATCTGGGTGAATCTCTATGATAAATGATTCATAATCCATAATTCAATGGATCCCTTTCATTCCATGCACCAATAAACCCCACACCGATTATAACACCCTTCTTGAATTCAGATACAATCAGACCCCTCAGAGTCTAAGTGGGTGTGACAGCAGGAAGGAAGCACCTGAGGATTTGAGAAGGCTAAGAGGAACCAAGAAGAAGATGTCACACGTTGGCTAGTCATGCATATTGATGTTCCCCTGCACAAGGTTTTTGTTCAGCTCTTCAATGGGACTGTAGCACTGTGGACTTGCCACTGCTTTCATAAGAGAGGCAATAATAATCAGCTTCATCTTCTTCCTCAAGATTGGAGATGCTTAAGACGGCAGATGTTCTAGAGTTTTCAACAGAACCGGAGAATCGTGCTGGGATTCCAGAGGCTCTGCTGCTATCATAATATATAAGGAGTTTGGGGGCACTGCTAGGCTTCTGTTGATACCAGGAGGAAGCGTATGTTCCAATTGTTCCACTGCTTATAGTACAAGAGATTTGGATTGTCCCTCCAGGAGATCCAGACACAGAAGCTGGTTGATTCAGGACAAACTGGGAAAAACTCCCTGGAAAAAAAGCAAAGATGACAGAACGATTCAATCAGCATGATTTTAATTGGACCTAGGAGAAATGTATGGTAGGAACAGAAATCAGAAGTCAAAGAAATAGAGGAGAAACTACTTCTCTGAATTTTTAGGTGATGGAGGAAGAGTGTAAGACCCAGGTTTTCTTTCTTTCTTTTTTTAGTAAATATCAATTACCCAAAAAGGAAGAGAAGAAGATGAGAAGAGGCAGCCAAGCCATGGTGGATGATGGGGTCAGAAGTGAATTGTCTGCAGATCCATCTGTTGTCTCTGCTCTTAAGCCTTTTGCCAGTGAGGAATTCAAATTCATGCAAATAATCTGCCTGCTCATTGAACCTTCCTCAGATGTCAAAGCCTCCTTCAGCTAAAAGGAAAGACCTTCCCTTCAAGGTTCCTTCCTGCCTGAGAAGGAGTTGGACTAGAAGACCTCCAAAGTCCCTTCCAACTCTGTTATTCCTTTGAGTATCATGATATGCTGATGCAGCCTTTGAGGAGACCATCCTGTTTTGTTGAGCGAGAACATTTGAGAAGGACTTCAGCTCACCTGAGATGTAGATAGCGTGCATGAGATTTATCTTCTTGATCCTTCCTTGTTCAGGCTGAGACTGATCCCTCTCAGCTTTCAGGGAAATTATGGCCTTCAAAAATGTTAGTAATGACAACGGTCTATGTTAGGTCACAAGTTCATGTTTTCCTGAAAAGTCATTGTGCTCATCCCATGGGATCTCCAAGAGTAGAAAAAAAATTCAGCTCACATGAACTGCTAAGGATGGAGCTGGTGTCCCACCATAATATAAAAAGGAGGCTCAATCCATTTATTTATTTATTTATATTGATTATTATTCACACTCTTTCCCATGCATTCTGTTATATTTTGACTTTTATCTGTTTTCTGCCACTTGTGCCCCTTGAGAAGGGAAATATCACATTTTCTCATTGCTACTGACAGCCTGAATTAGGAGCCTCCTTAAACTAGAACTCGGTGGACTAAAATTTCAGACTAAGTTTGCAAAACATGGCAATCCTGACCTCTGCTGGTTATGTCACCCAAGCCTCAAAGAACTTTTGGGGGGTTGGGCAAAGCAGATGCCCAGATTCTCTTTGTCACAATAAAGAAAAGCATCGTAACCTACATCAAATATAAATAGCATGTTTAAATCTATTTTTTCATGACCCTAAAGGAGATGGATGAGAAGGAAGAATGGGAACATAGGGGATCATAGTTATGACCTAACCTTAATCCTAACTCTAATCCTAACTCTAACCCTATAAAACCATAGATTTTTTTTTAAAAAAAACACCCAACATTTTAGACCAACAAAATCAACAAAGGAGAGTCCAGTTGTAGGCAATTTGAGAGGGACTGAAGATGCTCAAGGAGGCAGAATTGGATGAACTATTGACAGAACCAGAAAAATGAGTGGAGGCTTTAAAGAGCTTCTTACTGTGCTCAGGTTTCTGATGAGGGCACTGCTGATCCCAGGAGTTGTATTAATCACCAATATTTCCACTCATTTTGGTACAACAAATCCTCACCCTTTCTCTGTAGGATGCTGAAAGAGAAGGGGGAGGATTAAGGAGAACCTGGGCCAAAAGATCTGAAAGGAAGCAAAGAGAAAGTTTCGGTCCAAGGGGGGTAATTCCAAAGGGCAGAGAAACATTAGATGGGAAAGGTAAGAGTGAAAGACTCCAAATAAGCTTCTCTGATCAGAATTGATCAATAAGAACCAAAAGATGAGAAGGGTTGATGTAAGACAATCAAAACTTTTCCATCACTATGGCAAAGTGGACAGAGAAGAAGAGGAGGAGACATGGCTAGGTTGTAGTTGGAATGTGGGCTAAAGATCCACAATATGGCTGTTGTCTCCAAACAACTATTATCAGAAATGATCTGGGTGAATCACTACAATAAATCATTCATAATCCATAATTCAATGGATCCCTTTCATTCCATCCACCTGGAAATCCCAGACCAATTATAACAACCTTCTCGAATTCAGATACCATCAGACCCCTAAGAGTCTAAGTGGGTGTGACAGCAGGAAGGAAGCATCTGAGAATTTGAGAAGGCTAAGAGGAACCAAGAAGAAGACGTCACACGTCGCCTAGTCATGCATATTAGTGTTCCCGTACAGAAGGTTTTTGTTCAGCTCTTCAGTGGGATTGTAGCACTGTGGACTTGCCATCATCTGCAATAGAGAGGCAATAATAATCACCTTCATCCTCTGTTTCAAGATTAGAGATGATTAAGGCGGCAGATGTTCTCGAGTTTTCAACAGAACCGGAGAATCGTGCTGGGATTCCAGAGGCTCTTTCGCTATCACCATATATAAGGAGTTTGGGGGTATTTCCAGGCTTCTGTTGATACCAGGAGGAATCGTATGTTTCAATTGTTCCACTGCTTTTAGTACAAGTGATTCGGATTGTCCCTCCAGGAAATCCAGACACAGAAGCTGGTTGATTCAGGACAAACTGGGAAAAAGTCCCTGAAAGAAAGCAAAGGTGACAGGAAAAATTCAGTCAGCACAATGTTCACTTCAGCAACAGAGACAGATGTGGTAGGAACAGAAATGTGAAAGTCAAAGTAGAGGAGAAACCACTTCTCTGAATTATTAGGAGATGGGGAAAGACTCTAGGTCATAGTCATTTTAGGCAGAAATCCCAAGTCATCAATTACCCATAAAGTAAGTGGAGAGGATGAGAAGTGGCAGCCAAGCCATGGTGGAAGTCAGGGTGGAATTGTCTGCAGATCCAGCTGTGCTCTCTGCTCTTAAGCCTTTTGCCAGTGGGGAATTCAAATCCATGCAAATGATCTGCTGCTCATCAATTCTTCCTCAGATATGAGAGCCTGCTTGAGATAAAAGGAAAGATCATCCTTTGAAGTTTCCTTCTCTTCAAGCATTCGGATTTGCTGGGGGAGCTTTTGTGGACACTCCCCTGTTTGACTGAGTGGGAACATTTGAGAAGGAGGTCAGAGGAATTGGAGAGGACAAAGCTTCCATGAGACGTCCTCTCTTTCTCTCCTTGATCCTTCTTTGTTCAAGCTGAGAATCATACCTCCCAGCATTTCTAGGAAATTTGGGCCCGTTTTAGGGATGTTAGGAATGACAACTGTCCATATTAGTTCACAAGACGTTTATTTTTCCTGAAAACTTCCCGTGCTCATCCAAGGAGATCTCCAAGAGTTGAGAAACAAGCAATTAAGAAGCCACATGGAACTAGATAAGATAACAACTGGTGCCCCAGCATGGTATAAAAAGGAAGCTGGATCCACTGCACTCCCTAGAGCAGGGGTCTCCAATCTTGGCAACTTTAAGACTTGTGGACTTCAACTCCCAGCTGGCTGAGGAATTCTGAGAGTTGAAGTCCACAAGTCTTAAAGTTGCCAAGATTGGAGACTCCTGCCCTAGAGGTTTTCATCAAAATCAGGAATATGGTACAACTTTTTACAACTAGCACATTGCATTCAAAGATCACAATATTTCTCAGCTGCAGGCCACTTCTTCACATGGAGATGGCGGCCTGTCCGAAGTAGGATTTTAATGAAGGGTGAAGATAAGATAGCAATGGGAGAGACTAAGGGGACATTTGATAAATATTAGAACAATATTTGAGCTTTGATATCTCCCCAAATGAAACCCAATTCTAAATATATCCAATAACTTGGGCTGCCTGCATGTTAGGCGGTTGTATTAACCTCTGAGCCACAAGTTCTCCTCCCTTCATCAGATTGAGCCAGGGGAGAGATTAAATGTTTTTCTATTTACAACATTTACAACATCATTCACTTTAATATAATTCTCTAATCTTAAAATTATAGAGTATTAAACAATTAAACATTATAAGCCTATTCATCTTCTAGTAAAAATACAATAATAATAGCATTACACATAATTATCCTCCTCATCCTAATGCTAACAATTATCATCTTATTTCTACCTCTATCTTAACATATTTTCTATTCTTCTTTAATCTTCTGCTTTTATTTCCAGTTCCTCTTTTTACGCTCTAACCATTGATAGAAACTTCAAATATCATATAATATTCAGTTTGTTCTTTGTCCTTAATTGCTAGTGTTAATCTGTTCATTTCTGCGCATTCTAATCACCTTCTCCTCAACAGGAATGTCTTCACTCTTCCAATGTTGTACGAATACAATTCTAACTGCCGTTAGAACCTGGATAATGAAACAAGTATTCTCTTTATTATAGCTTTTGGGTAAAATCCCCAGCAAAGAATATCTGAATTGACAAAAAGACTCCAATCAATGTGCAATATAACTAAACTAGTATGGCTTCTCCAAGGATTATCACATTGCCTTGCTTCCTTGCCTCACAGGTTTTCTAGTAGTCCATCCCACTGCTCGAGCGGGATACCCTATATATATATATATATATATATATATATATATATATATATATATATATATATATATATATATATATTTTAATTTGATTTATATGCCGCCCTTCTCCGGAGACTCAGGGCGGCTTACAATGCGTTAAGCAATAGCCTTCATTCTTTTGTATGTTTTATACAAAGTCAGCTTATTGCCCCCACAAACTGGGTCCTCATTTCACCTACCTTAGAAAGGATGGAAGGCTGAGTCAACCTTGAGCCTTGGAGAGATTCGAACCAGCAGAAATTGCAGGCAGCTGTGTTAATTACAGGGTGCACTAAACCCCTGTACTATCAAGGCTCTATATCAGTCATGGCTAATCTTTTTGCTGTTGCATGCCAAAAAGCAGGGGGAGCGCGGGGGAGTTGCATGCATGCATGCCCACTCCGATAATTTAATGCCCCCCCACGCCCCATCCCCCCACGCATGAGCACGCTTCCCCCACGCTCCCCCCACTTTTGACACGCAATGGCAAAAATGCTACTAGCGGGCCCGGTAGGCCCATCTTTCACTCTCCCCAGGCTCCAGGGCCTTTCTTGGAGCCTGGGGAGGGTGAAAACTGTCTTCCCCACCCCCCGGAGGCCCTCTGGAGGCTGGAAACGACCCATTTCCTGACTTCCAGTGGGCCCGGAAGGCCCGAAAATCAGCCGGCCAGTGTGTGCATGCACACTGGAGGTGAGCTAGGGCAATGCTCATGTGCCCACAGATATGGCTCCGTGTGCCATCATGGCTCTCTATCATTTCAGAGAAATGTTTGGCGAGTCTCGTTTTCATAGCGTTCAGTGAGGGAGCACTCACAGCCTCTGAAGGCAAGCCATTCCGCTGGTTAATTATTCTCACCATAGGAAAGCTCTCCTTGGTTCTACGTTTATTTATTTATTATTGAACGTTGCTTCTCTCCTTGGTTACTTTCCATCCATTGTTTCTTCTCTTGCCTTTTGGTGGTTTGGAAAACAGTTTTACACCCCTTGTCTTTGTAAGAGCCCCTCAAATATTAGAACAGTGCTATGGTGTCTCTCCTAGTCCTTCTTTTCACTAGACTGGACAAACCCAATTCCTGCAACCGTTCTTCGTATATTTTAGCATTTACATTGGGATGCAGCATTCCAGGTATGCAGTGGTGAAATTCAGATTTTTTTTTTACTACTGGTTCTGTGGGCGTGGCTTGGTGGGCGTGGCAGGGGAAGGATACTGCAAAATCCCCATTCTCACCCCACTCCAGGGGGAAGGATACTGCAAAATCCCCATTCCTTCCTCACTCCTGGGGGAAGGATACTGCAAAATCCCCTTTCCCTCCCCATTCCTGGGGGAAGGATACTGCAAAATCCCCATTCCTTCCCCATTCCTGGGGAAGGATACTGCAAAATCTCCATTCCTTCCCCATTCCTGGGGAAAGGATACTGCAAATCCCCATTCCCTCCTCACTCCTGGGGGAAGGATACTGCAAAATCCCCATTCCTTCCCCATTCCTGGGGGAAGGATACTGCAAAATCCCCTTTCCCTCCCCACTCCTGGGGAAACGATACTGCAAAATCCCCTTTCCCTCCCCACTCCTGGGGGAAGGATACTGCAAAATCCCCATTCCTTCCCCATTCCTGGGGGAAGGATACTGCAAAACCCCCATTCCCTCCCCACTCCTGGGGGAAGGATACTGCAAAATCCCCATTCCCTCCTCACTCCTGGGGAAGGATACTGCAAAATCCCCTTTCCCTCCTCACTCCTGGGGGAAGGATACTGCAAAATCCCCATTCCCTCCCCACTCCTGGGGGAAGGATACTGCAAAATCCCCATTCCCTCCTCACTCCTGGGGAAGGATACTGCAAAATCCCCTTTCCCTCCTCACTCCTGGGGAAGGATACTGCAAAATCCCCATTCCCTCCTCACTCCTGGGGAAGGATACTGCAAAATCTCCATTCCCATCCCACTCTGGGACCAGACAGAGGTAGTATTTGCTGGTTCTCCGAACTACTCAAAATTTCCACTACCGGTTCTCCAGAACCTGTCAGAACCTGCTGGATTTCACCCCTGCAAGTATGGTCTTACTAAGGCTTTGTAAAGTGGTACTAGAACTTCACGCGATCTTGATTCTAGCCTTCTATTAATGCAGCCCCGGATTGCAGACCAGGATAAACCATATTTGGCATTTTCTCCTTGTCTCCAAGACCCCCTTGAGTACTTGATGTTGAGTTTAGAAAGAGTTGTTTCTGCTTAATGGCAGAGGACAAGGAATCGGCCACTTTTTAAATTATTTTCACAAGAGTAAAGTACACCAAAAAGCAGAAGGATAAACTACTTGTGTTAGCCAAGAAAGCCAATTTTAGGGAGACGTGCTAGAGGGAAGACGATGTCTCTGTTTTTTAAAAAAAAAATGAGAGAAGATAAAAACATGTCATTTCTTGGTGGGTTTAAGGTCTTCCTTATTAGAAGGGAAACCAAACCAATGAAAGGGTTTCACTTCCTTTCAAGGGTTTTTGTCTCGCTTCTCTATTCGAATCAAGCACCGTGCACTCATTCCCTGTCCAAAGAAAACAGTAATAAGTGGCCTCGTCTTCCACCGAGGCCCCCGTGATGGTCAGAGACATGGTGTTTCCTGACCTGGAGCCAGAGAAACGATCTGAAATGCCTGTGGCTCTGATGCTGATGTCGTATATTAAGAGCTTTGGGATCTGCTCTTCCTTCTGCTGGAGCCATCGTGGGTAATAGTTGTCAGCGATGGTTCCTCCACCATATCTACAGGACATGACGATTGTCCCTCCTAGAGCTACAAAGTCTGGATCTTTCAAGCTGTGCAGCTGCTGGACGCTGGCCCCTGAAAGAGGACGTGGAATTTAGGGAACAAGGGAGAACATGGAATTAAGGAACATAAGGTGAATCTACACTATGCACCCAAACCACAGCCAGCATTTGCTGCACGGCTTTCCACGTGGAGACCATCAAAAGGATTTTTCCTCCTATCTCCTGATTCTTTTGGTCTCACCTAAGGAAGACAGGATGGTGAAGAGCAGAAGAACCCAAACCATGGTGGACCATTAGATGATCTTCCTCAATGAATCCATCAATCATTGGCTTCAACCTGGCCTCTCTTAAACCCGTAGAGGGGAGGAATCTAATTAGCATGCAAATGAGGTTGTTTTTAAAACCATGCTGATAACCTGTCCTTATTAAACAGGAAGATTGTTCAGCCAACTAAAGGTGCAGCCCGTACCTTATTGATCAATAGGTGATATTTGTGGACTTAGAGATCAATAGATGAGCTGGTTGAATAACAGTTTGGAGCAAAAACTGTAGAATCCTAGGATGACTTCCCAACCAGTGTTGAAATCCAAATGTTTTTACTACCAG